ATTTTTCCCTTCTTTTGTTGCCTTGGCCTATCGACCGTCGTTTGTGAGTGTTGGTGGTCTCCTGTGTTCTGTTTCGTCATCTCAATTGGGATTAGTTGCGTTTGTGTCCCCCTTTTGGGTGAATTGGCCGACAGGCCGTGTTGGCTCGGAATTCTTAAGCTCCATATGACTCTCTTGTCCTCGTCATGACGTATGTAGTGACGTAAGGATTGAGGATCTGGTTTTACGGTCTGCAGAATGTACACAAACGGGACATACCGCTTAGGCCCATCGTCTCCCTACGTAGCACTCCTACGTACGGTTTGGCAAAATGGGTGCTTGCTCGTCTTAATTTCCTGATAGAAGCCTCGGCAACAACAGTGGCTTCTGCTAATCAGTTCCTTGAACGTTTAAAACATCTGAAACTAGAGCCAGATGGATCCGTGATATCTTTTGGTGCCGTTTCACTCTTGACCTCCATTCCGCAAGAACTAGCGATTGACGTGGTGAGACATTTTATGACTGATCGCTACAAAGAGAGAGGCAATCCCCTGAAGACCAAACATCTCATGGAAATCTTATGGTATTGCCCTAAAACAAATTTCACCTTTGGTGGACAAATGTATGAACAAATCAGAGGCACTCCTATGGGCTGATTTCTGAAGTGGTCCTTCAACGGATAGAACACTTGATGTTCACCAGGTATCAACCAAAGTTCTGGGCTCGTTACGTTGATGACACTTTCGCCATTATCAAATCCTCTGACGTTGAACACTTAAAGAATTACTGAACTCGGTTGACCCGAATATCCAATTCACGATGGGAGCTGAAACAAACAACCAACTTCCCTTCCTCGATGTTCTTGTTCGTCCGTGTGTAACTGGGCAATTACAAACTACCGTTTTCAGAAAGGCCACCAACACAAGACAAATACTACACTTCAACAGCAATCGCCCTCTCTCTCTCTCTTTCTCACAAACACATCTGTGTCCGTACTCTATTGATTTTTTTGATTGACTTACAAGGTCCAATCAAGCTAGTATCGGTATCAGTGTATTTCAGGGCAAGTAAGTGTGTACCTTTTAAATCCCTATTCGAAAGACTTGAAACACACTGCAGCACACCAGACGACAAAAGAGTTGAACGACAATAACTTCATGGTCTCTTTCGAGCAAATGGATAACCAGGATACGTTATCAAGCAAAGCAGGCGCCGAATGAACAGACGGCGGCCACAAGAAGAACAACCCGAAGTCTGGAGGGCTATTCCTTACATTAAAGGATTCTCCGAGGCCGTTTCACGGCTGTTCAAACCCGCCAGGGTAGGTATTGCCCATTGACCCCAGGCAACAATTCGTCTCCGTTTGATGTAACCCAAAGACATACTGCCACACACTGAAACCTCAGCAGTTGTCCATTATATACATTGTAACGATGGAGACCGTAATTACGTTGGAGAAACCGGACTGAAATTGCAGGCCCACCTACAGAAGCACAAATTGGAAACTCGGAGACTAGACCCAAGCACACAGCTTACGGCTCACATCGGAAAAACTGACTGCAGTTTTGACTTTCAGGGAGCAGCCGCCTTAGGCCGGGGCACCTAAAGGACAGAACGACTAACACCTGAGGCTTGGCACTCATATGCCAACTCCATCAACAGGCATCTAGAACTTCCTGCAGTCTATAAAGTCCTACGTCATTACATACTCCATGGCGAGGACAAGACAGTCATACGGAGCTTAAGAATGCCGAGCCAACACGGCCTGTCGGCCAATTCACCCAAAAGGGGGACACAAACGCAACTAATCCCAATTGAGATGACGAAACAGAGCACAGGAGACCACCAACACTCACAAACGACGGTCAATAGGCCAAGGCAACAAAAGAAGGGAAAAAATTCTCAGACAAAGGTCAACTAATTCGGCTGTGTATTCAAAATTCTGATCGATTTTTGCACTAGACGCTTTGATAACGGAGAGCCGCCCAAGCTCTTCGAAACGTCAGCCAAACAATTTCCTTGATCCAGTGAGCAGTTCCCTTTCCTTACTATAATCTGTCACCTTTCTAAATGTCAGGGCGTGCTCGAATTCCTCGCTGGTTGGCATCAAACTGCGCACAACTTCTTTCTCGTGCAGGCTTTGTTTCACGTGAAAACGCTCTAGTTGGATTCCACTTATGTTTTCCATTGAAGACGTTAGGACTTCTGATCTTTTAGACCATCCTTCCAACAGGGTTAAAATCGCATAGATATGTGGAGCTTGCATCGCCTCGCGGATTACTCTTGAAAGACGCTTGAGAAGATCTTGTCTTTCTGTAAACAAATAAAAGAAAAATCATATCAAAGGAATGCAGCGTTGAGATTGACCAATGTTCTCACTCGGCCCTGAAGATAAGCACTGGTATTCACAGTCGTCATAAGGTATACTGCAACATATTGCTAAACTTAAGATATCAACGCAAAAACAGCCCAAAGTCCGATACCTTTCTGCTGTTTCCACTATGGAAACAGTAATACCAACTGGGATGTACTTGTCCAAGCCAAGTCCGCTTATCAACCACAGGAATTAGACAATTCTGGCCGTGGCAGTTCTCTCATCGAAGCACACTATTTGGGAAGGGGCAGCAGTTTGGAGGAAGTAGTTAATTTATGGAACTACATGGCAAGCATACGTTTGCCTTCAAAAAAGTCTTATCCCAAACTCTCACCTGTGTGACGCGTCAAGCCAAGTCAAGTCCTCTAGTAAGCCACATGGTTTATTTAGCCACTTAATCATGCAAATGCATATGCACTATGAGAATTTATTAAAAGCGAACATCTGCTTGCCAAAACGTCTTGTTCATCCTTCTAGGGGATCAGTTGAGCTAATAGGGCAAAACCGTTTGTTCGGCAAGTAGATCTCGAAAATACCAACGGACCTTAAATGACATTTAGTCCCTCACTGTTTGTGCAACCGAGAATTCGTGCAGAATTGTCAATACCTTAGGGCCCAGACTCCGGTTTTCTCGATCATTGTGGTAAAAAGACGACTAAGGTCAGGACCGTTCGGTCTGAATCCCGTTTAAGCGGTTGACACCGTTCAGTACTGCAAACTGTATGGGACAATTTCGGTTAATAGTGGAGATGCTTCGCGACATCAAGTAATTAAGTTCATATTTTACTGAAGGCATACCATGGAAACCAAAAGTAACATTGCACGTCTAGATCACTGCCTACTTTAACTTTCGTGAAGACAGGAAAAAATAACTCACGGCGCGGAATGTAGAGTGACTTACTTTGTTTAGTACAAATTGATAGGTCAGGGTGCGAACGTGTATCAAATGCCCTAGAGCAAACTGATTCCCCAAGAGTGGTCTTTAGTGGCTTTTTCAGTATGTCCATTTATTAGGAGATGTATATAAAGGCTTGACATGACCGTTTTTTGTAGATCTGAATGTTGAGGTTCGACTCACCTAAGTAGAAAACAAGAGGCTTTTACTTTGGCCATCAAGTTCCCAATCATTTCTACTGAGTAAGACAGCGGTACCTGACGCCTGACTGTATCATTATTACAGACATCACCTTACAGTTCCTATCAGGAGCATGTTTGCTTAATCAGCAAACCGTGGAAATGAATAAACCTGTTTGATCTAGGACGCACTCTTAAGATGACCGTGTGTTATAATTGTACATGTTTTAAATTTCCTTAGAAATTAATCGCTAACTTGTAGTAAATCAGTCTATTTGAGACTTGTCACAAGAGGAATAAAAACCTGCGATTTCAAAACTGGGGACCCACTGATGGGACGAACCCCTCGCAACTGTCATGCAGCAGCAGGATGTCGGTGAACTACGTGTCTGGACTTTTAGCTGGTACCTGTGCTCTCATGTATAGCACTATTGTCAACAGGTGAGAGGTTTGCATTTAGAGTCACAGACCAAGTGGATATAGAATTTTCATGGATTAAAGGTTACTACGTACTTATATCTCGAAATAACTTTGTCATTCCCTGTTAATCTTAATCGGTGTATTTATGCAGATATTTCATAAATGTTTTGGCAGATTTTGAATAATTCATATTGACCCTACTGTGAAATCCTCGGCGCCTCGATGGGATTCGAACCCACGCAGTAAGGGGGAAGGCTTTAGTACAGCCAAGTGTGATTAAACTCGCGTCGTCAGGCGGGGCCTCGTAGCTCAAGTGGTTAGAGCGTTGGCTGTACTAAAGCCTTCCCCTTACTGCGTGGGTTCGAATCTCACCGCGGCGCCGAGTTTTTCACAGTTGGGTCAATATGAATTATGTAGATAAATTGGTAGCGACAGAGAGAAGAGCGACCGTAAGGGCCGTTTGTGGGTTATTATCTGTCGTCAGCAAGCACTACCCAACTTCAGGTTTTATGGTTAGCTGAGGTCCGATCCGACTTCTTTCGGTTATTGCGCTTCAGCAAGTTCAACGCTCTAATAGATGTGGGACGTGGATCTTCTTTTCTCCTCTTTTAAGCAGTTGCAAACTTTGTACCCATGTCGGGAATTAGGTTTCACTACCAAAAGTGCAAAGAAAACCTGCATTTTGCACTTGCCGTGCCTGTGTGAGACCTTTTGCGTCGCCCCTGGGCGTAGTCCTTTAAGTTGTAAATTATTTGACTGGGATGTGCACGAGCGCAAAAAACGTCGGAGGAATTCTTTTCTTCCCCCCACTGCTTAGACATCGATATGACCGGCTGCAGCCTTATCAATATTAAAATTGATCGCTGCTTTCAACGGAGAGACTGCCTCCGTTCCAGAGGAATTTATGTAAACAATGACCTGGAAGTTCTGGTTGTCGTATTAGCTGCCAGAATGCCTGCACAGTTCACTAGCACACGCACAAATGCCTACTACTTTGGCACAGCATTGCGTCGTACTCTGGTCACTACCCCCATCCTTGTCGCCAACGCCACTGCCTCCGTCTGCGTCTTTGTGTGTGCACACGCTCCAAGTGTGTGTGTGTGTGTGTGTGTGTGTGTGTGTGTGTCACTGCCCTCGCACCTTCACGCATCGCATGGGTCTATTCGGCCACATGCGCATCCACGAGAGCGGAATTGACCGCCGCCTTGACACACCCACCCCGCCGAGCCCCACTCCCAATCAATCACCTTGTGCACCCACTAACCACTCCCCAGCCGGCATCGACGCCACCGACCTTACCACCCCTCACTCCTCCCCTTTCTCCTCCTCTTCCTCCTTCACTGCCACAACGACGGCCACTCTGGCGTCTGTAGCGCATGACTTGACCACAGCCGCACCTGACACAACAACAGGCACAACCCCTGCAACCTCCATCATCAGACGTGAGGGCCAGGGCTAAATCTGCCCTCACTGCGATCGCACCTTCACCTCACGCATCGGCCTGGTCGGTCACTTGCGAATCCATCGCACAGAGACTGGCGAACCAGTGCCTGGAGCACCAACCTACACCCACCGCACTCGCCTCCACTGCCCACACTGCCCTCGCACCTTCACGCATCGCATGGGTCTATTCGGCCACATGCGCATCCACGACGACCTGCGGTAGACAACCGCTGGTCACACCACACATTCCCTCACTCCCTACCTCCTAACACCATCACCCCACCAGACATCAACCCCCACACACCTCATGCACTCAACTGCCGCCTCCCACGCAAGTGGGAAGTGTGCATCTCGACTCGGTCCCCATGCGGTTTCGGCTGCACGGGTGACTTGTGTCCGAGACTATCCCGACACGTCAAGTGTCGTGGATAGGAAGGTTGCTGATTGAGGCCCGCTCTCGGTTCAC